TGTATGTAGTTGTATAGTCACTAAACTGCGGTTAGCATTCAAACAACACTAACTCACAAGGTGTACAGTTCCGGAAATGCAAATATCGAGGAAAAATTCAAATGTTACATTGTTTCATGACATGCAACAAACTTTTGCTACGAAACAAAGTACTCGTTTTAGAATTTTACAAGTGATGTAAAAACAGTGTCGTCTTAGGCAATTTTTTTTGATTTAGGAAAAGTTTTGGGAATAAGAAAAATTTTAATTAAAATTTCTTTATAAAAAGTTAAAGTAGTCAACCGTACTCACTTGTCTTATATAAATACATTTGGTAAAAAAGGTTGTCGAGTTAAGAATTGTGGCTTTATCAAGTTATCGCTCGGTTTATAGATAATATAAACATCTAAAAGTTTATCCAATATTAGGAAATAGTATTTTGTATATAAGCACTGAAAACATATACTGCGTATAAAATATATTTAGTTAATTCTAAGAACAACACAACAGATTAATCGGTCTTAAAAATACATAAAGTAAACTTCGCTATTATTGAAAATACATAAAGTTGAACTGAACTAGAACTAACTAGAACTGAACTAGAAATAAACTAGAACTGAACTAGAACTGAACTAGAACTGAACTAGAACTGAACTAGAACTGAACTAGAACTGAACTAGAACTGAACTAGACTAACTAGAACTAACAGAACTGAACTAAGAACTGAACTAGACTGAACTAGAACTGAACTAGAACTGAACTAGAACTGAACTAGAACTGAACTAGAACTGAACTAGAACTGAACTAGAAATGAACTAGAACTGAACTAGAACTGAACTAGAACTGAACTAGAACTGAACCAGAACTGAACTAGAACTGAACTAGAACTGAACTAGAACTGAACTAGAACTGAACTAGAACTGAACTAGAACTGAACTAGAACTGAACTAGAACTGAACTAGAGCTGAACTAGAACTGAACTAGAACTGAAGCTAGAACTGAAGTAGAACTGAAACTAGAACTGAACTAGAACTGAACTAGAACTGAACTAGAACTGAACTAGAACTGAACTAGAACTTGAACAGAACTGAACTAGAACTGAACTAGAACTGAACTAGAACTGAACTAGAACGAAATCGAACTGAACTAGAACTGAACTAGAACTGAAACTAGAACTGACTAGAACTAGAACTGAACTAGTAAACTGAACTAGAAGAACTAGGAAACTGAACTAGAACTGAACTAGACCTGAACTAGAACTGAACTAGAACGAACTAAGCTGAACTAGAAGACCTAGAACTGAACTAGAACTAACTGACTGAACTAGAACGAACTAGAACTGAACTAGAACTGGAACTAGAACTTGAACTAGAACGAACTAGAACTGAACTAGACTGAACTAGAACGGTACTAGAACTGAACTAGAACTGAAACTAGAACTGAACTAGAAAGCTCGAACTAGAACTGCTGATGAATAGAACTGAACTAGAACTGAACTAGAATGAAAATAGAACTAGAACTGAACTAGAACTGAACTAGAACTGAACTAGAACTGAAACTAGAACTGAACTAGAACTGGACTAGAACTGAACTAGAACACTGAAACTAGAACTGAACTAGAACTGAACTAGAACTGAACTAGAACTGAACTAGAACTGAACTAGAACTGAACTAGAACTGAACTAGAACTGAACTAGAACTGAACTAGAACTGAACTAGAACTGAACTAGAACTGAACTAGAACTGAACTAGAACTGAACTAGAACTGAACTAGAACTGAACTAGAACTGAACTAGAACTGAACTAGAACTGAACTAGAACTGAACTAGAACTGAACTAGAACTGAACTAGAACTGAACTAGAACTGAACTAGAACTGAACTAGAACTGAACTAGAACTGAACTAGAACTGAACTAGAACTGAACTAGAACTGAACTAGAACTGAACTAGAACTGAACTAGAACTGAACTAGAACTGAACTAGAACTGAACTAGAACTGAACTAGAACTGAACTAGAACTGAACTAGAAACTGAACTAGAACTGAACTAGAACTGAACTAGAACTGAACTAGAACTGAACTAGAACTGAACTAGAACTGAACTAGAACTGAACTAGAACTGAACTAGAACTGAACTAGAACTGAACTAGAACTGAACTAGAACTGAACTAGAACTGAACTAGAACTGAACTAGAACTGAACTAGAACTGAACTAGAACTGAACTAGAACTGAACTAGAACTGAACTAGAACTGAACTAGAACTGAACTAGAACTGAACTAGAACTGAACTAGAACTGAACTAGAACTGAACTAGAACTGAACTAGAACTGAACTAGAACTGAACTAGAACTGAACTAGAACTGAACTAGAACTGAACTAGAACTGAACTAGAACTGAACTAGAACTGAACTAGAACTGAACTAGAACTGAACTAGAACTGAACTAGAACTGAACTAGAACTGAACTAGAACTGAACTAGAACTGAACTAGAACTGAACTAGAACTGAACTAGAACTGAACTAGAACTGAACTAGAACTGAACTAGAACTGAACTAGAACTGAACTAGAACTGAACTAGAACTGAACTAGAACTGAACTAGAACTGAACTAGAACTGAACTAGAACTGAACTAGAACTGAACTAGAACTGAACTAGAACTGAACTAGAACTGAACTAGAACTGAACTAGAACTGAACTAGAACTGAACTAGACTGAACTAGAACTGAACTAGAACTGAACTAGAACTGAACTAGAACTGAACTAGAACTGAACTAGAACTGAACTAGAACTGAACTAGAACTGAACTAGAACTGAACTAGAACTGAACTAGAACTGAACTAGAACTGAACTAGAAACTGAACTAGAACTGAACTAGAACTGAACTAGAACTGAACTAGAACTGAACGAACTGAACTAGAACTGAACTAGAACTGAACTAGAACTGAACTAGAACTGAACTAGAACTGAACTAGAACTGAACTGAACTAAACTGAACTAGAACTGAACTAGAACTGAGCTAGAACTGAAGTAGAACTAAACTAGAACTGAACTAGAACTGAACTAGAACTGAATTAGAACTTAACTAGAACTGTACTAGAATTAAACTCCCCTTTACTAACTACTCAACTGATTGGCTATTGTAACTTTAAAACTTTATACTAGTACTCTAAAGATTACAATTGCCATTCTTCCTCAATGAAATTCTTGTTATGCTATTTTCAATACTAAGACTCATATGTTGTATAGAAATAAGCTCGAATTTATGTACACAATCTCTACAACTCCCCAAACAAATACACACACACTTGAACGCACTTACACAAAAACGTGTTGTATGCATTGACTATTTGCTACTTTTAATTGTTGCTATTTGTGTAGCGTTTGCTTGCCACAATTAGAAAAATTCAAAAGCAACAGAAAGTATAAATGGAAATGAAAAGAACAAATGGAAAACTTTTAAGCCACTAGATATTTGTAATATGTGTGTGTATGTGTAAATCTGTTGCATGTCTATAAAATATTGTTAGTTTTTGAAAAAAAAGAAGGAAAAGAAAACTAAACCCTTGAACTTTTCTATTCTTTGGTTTGTTGTTTTATTTTTCTAATTTTTTATATTTAAGTCTAATATTCCATAGAGTGCTTACGTGTGAGTCTTTGCTTAATTAAAACTAATGAACAATTTTCTTTGTTCAAACATACAAGGTAACAATTTAATATGAATGTTTTTCATTCTATTTAAATTTTTTTTCTTTTGTTTTGCATTTAGCATAATACGGCACACTTATACACATGCATTCCTGCAGAAAGGATTCTTTCTGTTCCAATTGTTCTTATGCATTTATAAATGCAAATGTATTACACTTTTGTTTATAATATAGATACAAACATACACATACATATGTATATAGTATTCAAAATATATTCATGCATTTATGGTTAAAACAATTGTTTGGTTTTTTTTTCTCTTCTCATATTATATTTTCTGACCCTGATAATAACTATAGTGTACTTAGACCAAAGTGTTGGCAAATTTATTAAAACTACTGTTTCGAGTAGAGAATTGCCTTTTCTATTTGCTTGCATATAACCCTGACATTTAGATTAGCCTGGTTTAGGCATTGAATAACTGGCTCAAGTCAATTACATTATTTGTTTAATAAAAACAATAGAAAACTATACAGAAGTCTTGTATATTTATACCACAGAATAATCATTAATTTAGAACCAAAGAAAGATTAGAGGTTGCTTCTCATGTACTGTTGAGTTAATTTAAGCAATGTTGTGTGTTATCATAATTATTTGGTTAGTTTTTGCTATTAGTTTAAAGAAAATTTTTGAAAATTTTAAATAAAAATGAGAATATTAGATTGAAAAAGAATGCATAGTAAGGAATGTTCGGTGATATTAATTATGAATATGAGAATATTAATCGGTTAATTTGAGCCAATCGTCTAATAGAAACGTGGGGAAAAAGTCAGAGTGCTAAACTCGGATGTTATATATTTTTTTTGAATTTTTTACCAGATACCTACAATGTCCGAATTTTTAAATTTATAAAAGTGGAGTTTCTTGGACATTTTGTATCCTATACCACTGTAGTGGCACTGCATTTGTGCTGATGTGTGTAACATCTAAAAATATTGCTAATACACCTTAAAGTATACCAATCGGCTCAGTATACCAAATTCTGACTAGATTGAGCTATCTTCGTCTGTCTGTCTGTCTGCCTGTCTGCCTGTCTGTCTGTCTGTCTGTCTGTCTGTCTGTCTGTCTGTCTGTCTGTCTGTCCGTCTGTCCGTCCGTCTGTCCGTCTGTCTGTCTGTCCGTCCATCTGTCAGTCAGTATGTCCACAAAAACCTTGTGCGTACACTACAGATCGAAATTTTTAAGATAATTTGATGAAATTTTGACATCAATCCTAACATTAATTTATATCGATAATAAGATCATTTATTCGAGATTGAACTACTTTATCTTCTAATTTGAAATTTACCACAAAACCTTGTTTACTTCCCTTTCAGTTTTGGGCTGCCTATGTTCCTTGTGAAGCACAACATCGAGATGCAGTACAACTAACGCTAGAACAAATAGATGTTATAAAAAGATTAACGGATCGTTATTCGCCACAGCTGACAACGTGTACATCAGCTCAGGGTAAGTTATTAAAAATTAACTAAATAAATTAGTTATTTATATAAAATAACTAAAAAATTTATACTAAATTTATTTTAACCACGACAATACACAATATAAAAAACATGTATATAATTTCATTTAATATGCTTAAATCTAGTAAATATGGCACTTGCTGATTTCCTGTAAAGCCATTAATTTAATAATATAAAAATAAAAATAAAAAACTTTTCAATTATTAAACAAACTAACAACAAAATAACTACTTATAAATTATTAACAAAAGTATGCAGTACCTCAAAACTTATTCCCAAACTTTTTTTCCATATGTCTACATTTTATTACGTAGTATTTTGCGGTTTTTGCTATAAATATCTAAACAATATTTTGTTTATGTATATTTTATAACACTAAACTTTATCATACAATGTTTGGTGTACAAATAAAAATGTTTGTATATATTTCCGTCCTGGTTATATTTCAGTCATACACATTTCCGTTTAAAAATAACGAATTGAAAACATTATGGCTGCGGGAGTTTTCTACTCTACCACTATCGTATAACAATTTTTTTTTTCAAAAAAATATATATAAAAACATTCCAAAGTAATTGAATATGTAAAAGTTTATATTTTTTTGCTTGGTGTAGAAAAAAAAAATTGCATATGGGTATTGAGACACTCTGTTAGGCGATGATGAATAGGACACAAATGGTGTGTTGGGGGAAAGGTGAAGAAATAAGAATAGAAAATAAATAATATTTTTGTAGTATTTGTATAATGTGTGTCGACAATTCAGGGAAAAATGGCAGCTATAAATTTAACTAAATAGCTTTTATTTCTTGTCCTTAAATGGAAGCTGATATCAAGATGTTAAGCATATTTGCTGATAGATTTCATATTTAAGATAAATACATTAATAATTTTATAAACATTAAGGAGACACTAACAAATAACCTAGTTTTCCTCAAATGTCCTACAATATAAGCTTACATAATTCGTTATAAACCTAAAAGACCTACTTTTCATTTTGAATTCACTAAAAATTAAATCAACTTAATTTCATAACGTGTCTTTTATTTTCTTCCGGCATATCATTTTAAAATTCAACATTTTTGCTTTAGCTGTTAGTGCTTTTTTTTCGGTTTGTTTGTTTGTTGCAATTCCCAAAACACTTAACAGCTAGAAAAATGTTTCTTTATTTTTGCTGGCATGAAATATGAGTTTTCCTAAATAAAAAACTAAACGCAAATAGGCAACAAACTAAAAAAAAACACAAAAAAAACTTTTTCAACAAATATAGTTTTCCCTCGGCAACCATTTACACACACTGAACCTGGACGTTAGGCAACATCACATCACAACCCACAAAAAAAAAATAATAAATTTTTCTTCAAAAATTGTATGCCTCATATTTTCGCTTAAATTTAACTTTGAAGTCACTACATAGCTAAGAAAAAATACAAAATTTTGGCAGCTATTACAGGAAAAAAAGCACCAAAAATCACAAGAAATTTAGCAGAAAACACGATAACAAGAAAACGTCTTTTACTACTACAACTACTTGCAACATCAGCAATTTTCATTTGGCTGTGGAGTAAAGAAAACAAACTAAAATTGTTGAAAATTTATTTACAATTCAAACAAACAAGAATAACATAACACTCAACAGTTTTTTACCTTGTGCTATATTATTCTATTTTTGTTTAGTTTTTTTTTTTTTGCAAGCTTTTCTTGTTTTCTTAACGCAATTTTATTATATATTTTGTTATTCTTTCTACTTTCTTTCACTCAATCCTCACCTAGTTTTAGTTGCAAAAGAATGAAATCAAAAACACACAACTGCTGTGCAAAAACAAAAAAAAATGTTAAAACAAACACAAGTATGGCAAATGTTTGTGTTACTTCTTGTTGAAACATCTGAACTATTGCAAGACTAACAGAAACATTTTTGTATCGAAATGCATTTTTTGCCATTTGCTAAACAATACCAAAAAAATGCTATAGAAATAAGTGAAAGAGAGATGGTTAGAGAAATATGACCGGATGGTTCTACGTACACCATTTTCCAAACTATTTAGCTTGAAAATCTATAGTCATAAATATGGTATGTAATCAGAGTCTATAGTCTGGACTACTGCTGGACTATAGTCTACATTACACCGTATATTCTGTGGACCATAGTCAGGACTATCTGTAGTCTGAACAATAGTCCATAGTCAGCAATATAGTCTGTAGTTAGGACTATAGACTATAGTCAGCAATATAGTCTATAGTCAGGACTATGGTCCATAGTCAGGACCATAGTCTATTGTCAGGACTATGGTTTATAGTCTGGACTATAGCCTATAGTCTGGACTATAGTCAATATAGCATATAGTCTTATCTATAATCTGGAACAGAGTCCCGAGAATAGTCTATACTCTGGACAATAGTCTATATTCTGGACTATAACTTTGACTATATATATAGTTCATAGTCTAGACTATAAACTATAGTCTAGACTATAGTCAGGGCCATAGTCTATAGTCTGAACTATAGTCTATAGTGTGGACTACAGTCTATAGTCCGAAATATAGTCTATAGTCAGGATTATAGTCTATATTCAGGACCATAGCCTATAGTCTAGACAATAGTCTATAGTCTGGACTATAGCCTATATTTCATAGTCTGGACTATAGTCTATAGACTAGACTATTATCTATAGTCTGGACTATAGCCTATAGTTCATAGTCTGGACTATTGTCTATAGTCAGTCTGGAGTATAGTCTATAGTATGGACTACAGTCTATAGTCCAGAATATAGTCTATAGTCAGGGCTATAGTCTATAGTCTGGACAATAGTCTTTGGTCTATAATCTGGACTATGGTCTATAGACTGGACTATAGTCTATATTCTGCAATATAGTCTATAGTCTGGACTATAATCTATGGTCTGGATTATAGTCTTTAGTCTAAACTATAGTCTACTATAGACAATAGTCTGGACTAGGTATAATCTGTAGTCTAGATTACAGTTTGCAATCTTGAAAATAGTCTTTAGTCTGTACTAAAGACTGTACTATAGTCTATAGTCGGGACTATAGTTCATATTTTGAACTGTAGCCTCGATTAAGTCTATAGCCTAGACTAAAACCTTTAGTCTATAATCTGAACTACAGTCGACAATAGTCTTTATTCTCGACTATTGTCTATATTCTGGACTTTAGTCTATATTCTGGACTGTAGTTTGGAGTATATTCTTTAGACTGGACTATAGTTTAGAATCTGAACTATAATCTGGACTATAGTCTATTGCCTGGGGTATAGTCTTTAGTCTGGATTACAGTCTGTAATCTGGACTTTTGTCTATAGACTGAACCATAATTTGGACTATTGTCTAAAGTTTAGTCTAGAATAGAATCTACAGTCTATATATTCATACTATAGTAGTATATTTTGAAGTATAGAATATAGTCTATAGAAGTTTCTAGTCTAAACAATAGCCTATAGTCGAAACTATAGATGGGAATATAATCTGGACTATGTCCAAACTATAGCCTGTACTACCCCTGAAGTCTTGATAATTTGGACTACATTCTGAACTATAAACTTTAATGTGGACTATAGTCTGAACTAAAAACTATAATATGGACTGTGGTCCGAACTATATAAGTAAATAATTCACTTTGTTTTTAATACTCTTGTACTTTCTCTAACCTCTGTATTTGTACATGTTTTTTTTTCAATTTGTTAGTGTTAGTTAGCACTTAGCAAAGAAAATATTTAAGTACAATATATTTTTTTATTTATAAAAATATTTTTCAAAACTTTGTTGTTGTGTCACTATACAAAACAAAAAATGAACTACAAAAACTCTAATATTCACTTAAATATCAGAATTATGAGTTTGTGTTTGAGTTTTAAATTTTTCTCTAATTCCATATGCTTGACTAAGAAAAACTATAATTCCTTTGCCATATTTTTTTTATTTATTCTCCGAAACATTAAGCCTTAGTAAAAAATATGTAAGAAAAAAACTAAATTATAAAATAAAAAAAGTTTAGTTTTTTACATATTTAGTTGGTAGTTATTCTAAACTTTTGACTCTTAGTCGTAATACTTGTTGTACGTTTAATATTTTTCCCCTTTTATAAGTATTTCATTTGAATTCTCTTTATTTGCTTGAGCTCCTTTTTTACCTGCAGTTGGTGCTAAAAACAAGTATTCGAGTGTATTCGGTATTCTCTATAAATGCGTTGTATTTTAAAAATTTTTAGTTGTAATTTTTTTTTTATAGGTCGAAAGTTTTTACCACTTCCTACAGACTTCCACACACATAAACCATAAGTGTAGAAAAGTTAAGAATATTTTTTTTGCTTTGCTCTGCTACTAGTAAAAATTCTGTTAAAAAATTGTTTAAAGTCATAAAGGTGAATATAGGAGAGAGAATACCAAAAGGAAATAAATATATATACACACACACACATAGACTAAAAGGAAGTTGGCGAAAAAAAACTGGGCAAATAAAGTTGATTATTTAATATGCCGGTTCTTGCTGTTTATAAGCCAGAAAGATTTAAAAGTTATTTTTGTTTGAAGAAAGTACTACAACAACTAAAAGAAAATAAGTAGAATTCGTTTTTTTTTTAATAGTGGGTCATAAAATGCGTTTAATACTTGCCCCGTTTATTTAATAAATTTTCTATTTTTATGTGAAAAGTAGAGAAAATGTTATATATTTTGTTAGCTATAGTAGTAAAAAAGCGGTTATGACTTTTTTGTTGAATATATTGTGAGAAAGTTTTTTAATAATGAATGTTCGGCTATACATGCTAAAGGATGGACTGACTATACATATGTGTGTTACTTATATGTATTAGATAATATGGTTTATTTCAAAAATTTATGAAATATTTGGAGGTGCTATTAGCAATTTTAATAGAAATAAGTAATAAATTACAGTTTGTTATACTCAATAACCCAGCAAAAACATGGTAATGATTTGTACTTAACAACTTACATACCGTCTGCATTACTTCGAATGAGTCTATTAATAACTAACAAATGATATATTATGTAAGTACTTACTTTCAGCCTTGACATATTGTTTTCGAATTTAGTTTTTAACACAAAAGATAAATTTTTTGTGAAAACTTATAAAAGAGGCAGTGGGCGTAGGTATACAAAACTGCTTACTGTACTGAAACTAAACTACTTACTTAACTCCCTCTTAGTAGTAAGTACTTACCTTACTCGCGAGCATGGTAAGTACTTGCCTCCAATGTCATCCCCATGTTAAAATAATGACTTAAAATGCTATTGTGGAAGTAAATTTAAGCATTTTAACCTTTTTGCTGGGTATGTAAAGGATGTGAACAAAAGACCCTTAACTTTGGAAGATTTTATATAAAAGCTGTGAATAACCAGAAGATACAAATGTGATCAGATACTTTGGGATACTTTATTGTATGATTTTTATCACTTTCCAATGAATTTCCTCACCTTCCGATTTTCTTTTAAATTTTCAAAGGAATTTCAAAAATTATTCAAGAAAAACTCAATTATTTAATTGCAAAAAATCACAATTCTAATCTCCCCCACTTCCTTAAAATCTTATTTTGATTTTCTAATTAACTGCTTTAATTTTCCAATAGAATAAAACAGAATATTCTTTTAGTGCATGTTAACATGCAATCAATCGATAACAATTCTTAAATACAACGTGTCAACTGCATTTTTGTATTCAACTCTTAAAGTTCGAAAAAATTTCCACTCATTTGCTTTTGTTTATACTCTGTCAAATACTATGTAAAAGGTATTGAGTTTTCAATTTGATTCCATACCATTAAAACATCAAACTTTGAAATGTTTGTCTTGTAGGGGAATGCAAGAAATATCTAGAACTTTAGTTGCGAGATGAAAAGTTGGAAAAAAAATATAAAAAGTAAATATTTAAATGTCATGATTTGAAGTTGTAAAAAGTCTTTAAAAGTCCTGAATTCGGCAATGTGTACTTTTAGTTTGAAAGAAAGTGTCAGGTGTAATTTCATCAATTTTTTACATTGTTGTTAGAATAGCATATTAAATCTTTTCTGAAGAAATATGAGAATGAAACAAAACATTGAAACAAAATGAAAAATGCCACATTTAAAGTAAAGCTACTTAATGTCTTGAAGAATAAGAAAAAAAATATAAGTGGGGAAGTGTAGTCAGGAATAACCGACCATACATATCATACATGACCCAATAAGAGGTCCTATAATAGAAAGCATACTATAGACTGATCTTTACGACCCATACATATCATACATCCTGGGGCCCAATATGGGATGCTACAATGGAAAGCATACTATAGACTGATTCTTACGAAATTTGTTTATATCTAATTTTATCAAAATTACGGCATCAAGGCCTTATAAGGGCTTTAAACAATAATGACTCAGGATCAATTATAGATCGAACTCTACGGAATTAAACAGACTTTCATGTGTTATCGATAAAATTTCCTTCTTTGTCCAGGAATGTTTCAATTTTAGATATGGTCTGAAGATTGTCAATCATTTCGCAACTGGACTGCAATTGCCATAGATTAAATAGCGCAAGTGCTTGTACATGGACCAGTGAGAGCAATGTAAAAAAATCCCACCTAGGTGTTCTTTTCAAAACACAAAGTAGAGGTCAGTCTTTAGTAGCTTACTTATCCTATGATTCAAAAAGATCACCGTGTGCTTTTGCCGTCAAGGCAGTTGATCACGTAAAGATCTCCAGGAATTTGTCAATATAAATATTAAAAACAAACAGGGTTGGACTAGCTGTACTAAACTTACCTCCAAGTAAATATTTATCACATATGGCACAGTGCTTCGTAAAACTAGCAAGTCACCGATGCACAGTGGCTCGCTTTTGCAAAGCCATATCGAAATGAAACTTTGCACGTTTATAGATTACATCAACATAAACGGCCATATAAAAAATGGCCAAAATCTATTAAATGGGCGTGGCATAACAGTAAACAATACATATATTTATACCCTATACCACTTTAGTGGGGAGGGTATATTGGGTTTATGCTGATGTTTGTAACGCATAATAATATTGGTCCTATACCCACCCCAAAGTACACCAAACGGCTTAGAATCATTTTCTGAGTCGATTTAAACCTTGTAATCAAACTGCAGGTCGCAATTTTGAAGATAATTGAATGAAATTTTGTATCGGAGACAAAGCCTATTGAAAATGGTTAACACCGGTCCATTTTCTTACCTAGCCCTAATCAAACTACAGGTCTTAATTTTGAAGATAATTCAATGAAATTTTAGCAGATGATCTTCTATGGTACCGGAGACGAAGCCTATTGAAAATAGTTAACATCGGTCCATTATTTCACCTAGCCCCCATACAACTGAAGCCGGCGAATAGGAATTTTAAGTTCATAATTATGTTTAATATACTCGTATCTCGACAAAAAGTTGGAAAACCAAGTTCTATACTCTCATGAATTTTATAATTATAGGGCCTCATTTGACTATGTAACAGGTGTAGGGTATCATATGGTCGGCTTCGCCCGACTATAATTTCTTACTTGTTTTATGTTATACTGTGTTCAATGTGCTTGTCTAATCTGTAGAAGTTTCTGATATATGGAATTTCTATTATAGGAGGCCACGTCCACTACTGTTGGTCTGACCATTTTGGTCCAAAATATTTAAATGGATGGTAATGTTACTCATTTCAAGGTTCCATTTCTTATAGTTATTCATTTATACAAAACAATTTTGTTTCTTTATGTGGGAGGTGCCACACCCAATGCTCATGTTACTCATATTTTTGTTCTAAATATTTCACAAAATTGTTTGGGAACCTTAACTGTTATAATTTCTGAGAAAAACGAATGTTGGATTTTACATTTTGTAGGAGTGCCACCTTCTGCCCAAATTAAATTTCAGAACAAAAAGTGGGCTATAACGAGTTACAGATATGTATATAGAAAATATTTATATGCAAAACATTTCTTTACGATCATCTCTTAAAGAAATTAGTCAATTTTCTTAACATTAGAATTTTAAACAATATTATCATCACAAAATTTTAAACTATGAAATCGTACCATAACTATAGATCACCCACAACTTGTTAGTGAATTCCTGTTTATTCTTGGCAAATGCTAAACAAAATGGGTAGCACACTTTCATTTTTTTCTTTCTTTCTCTCTGCTACGGTTTATTACTTCAAGTGGTATTTTCAAGGATTTCCATTTCTCAACTAAGAATGCAATATGCACACAAAAATATAAACATATACCTAAGCACAGCCATATACAAATAATATTGAAAAATATTTTCATTTTCTTATTTGCAGCCATGTATTAGAATCTTAAATAGTATGAAAGAATTGACGGGAAATTATAAAAAAAAAAGAAAAAAATCGAAGAAACTACAAGAGAAAAATAAAAAGAAAACAAACAACATTTACTAGGAAATGAAATGAATTTCCTGTACCAGTTTTTCTCTAACATTCTTGTTTCCCCTATTTTTAGAATCTTAGAAAGTTGCTGCGAGTTTATATGAGTTTGTGTGGGTGCAGTCGTAAATGCAGTAAACAGTGTACTATGTATGTTTTTCTGTTGAACAAATAAAAATGAACAAGCAAAAAAAAAATAAGAAAAATTGTGAAATAAAAGATTTTAACATGTAGTTTCTAACGAACAATACATAATTTTCTGCATCAATACAAATTGAAGCTTAGGTGTACATATTTTATTTTCTCTACAAATGCTTTATATTTACTTTTACTTATTGGCAACTGAAAGAAAAAATAATAATAAAACTATTTACGTATTTTGTATACTAGAATAATTGTAGTTACACATATTTATATAAAAATTCGTTTTCTTAGAAGAAAACTCTTACTATTCCTAATGTAAATATTTATTTAAAGGTATACTAAGATATATTATTTATCATGTTTTTTGTCTATTTAAATACTTAGTTTATTACATCTTCATGTATCTTTCTTTATCTATAGTCTAGTCTATAGTCTAGTCTATAGTCTAGTCTATAGTCTAGTCTATAGTCTAGTCTATAGTCTAGTCTATAGTCTAGTCTATAGTCTAGTCTATAGTCTAGTCTATAGTCTAGTCTATAGTCTAGTCTATAGTCTAGTCTATAGTCTAGTCTATAGTCTAGTCTATAGTCTAGTCTATAGTCTAGTCTATAGTCTAGTCTATAGTCTAGTCTATAGTCTAGTCTATAGTCTAGTCTATAGTCTAGTCTATAGTCTAGTCTAGTCTAGTCTATAGTCTAGTCTATAGTCTAGTCTATAGTCTAGTCTATAGTCTAGTCTATAGTCTAGTCTATAGTCTAGTCTATAGTCTAGTCTATAGTCTAGTCTATAGTCTAGTCTATAGTCTAGTCTATAGTCTAGTCTATAGTCTAGTCTATAGCTAGTCTATAGTCTAGTCTATAGTCTAGTCTATAGTCTAGTCTATAGTCTAGTCTATAGTCTAGTCTATAGTCTAGTCTATAGTCTATGAATTAAATCATATTTAAGTTTTAAAATCATATAAATATACATATCAAAATATATTCAAAGAAATTCCTAAACAAAATATGGGTGTGTTCATAAAATATAAAAAAAATATTATAAATTATATAAATTTTTAGTTTATATCAGCATTGTTTTCCAATTCACAACCCAAATACAATAAAAGAAAAAATATGCCAAATATTAAATAAATCAAAATAAATTCGAACAAAAAGATATTTACAAATAACAGCAAACCATAAAAAGGACAAAAAAGCAAACTACAAAACATAGTTTTATCACAAACTTGTAGTTATATTTATGAGATAAAATTCACATACACACAATAAATAGCAACAAAAACAACAACAACAACAATAATAATAGAAACTCAATTTCCTGAATGTTCCTTTAAAAAATATATATTTTTCTTTTTTTCTATATTTTCTATGTCTGCCATTCAACATACTACCACTTTAACCCACGTTGTCGTACAGACATTATTGAGGCCCATAAAAATCATCAATTGTGTTCATTAACGGGCGTTGAGGGCGGCCATTCATTGGGTGGCTCGTTGGCTGTACTAAGAACGTTGTACGCCATAGGTGTTCGTTATATGACACTAACATCTACTTGTCATACACCCTGGGCCGATTCCAGTTATGCGGATGCTCCAACATACAATGTTAAACATGGTGGTTTAACGATATTTGGCAAGGTAAGTACTTGTTAATAACAACAAAATACGTTCATACTTATGTTTGGCCATATTTCCATTTTATTGATGAAGCCAAAGATGGATGGATGGATGAACAAATAAATGAGTAATCATTTTTCATTCATTGGTTAGGGTTGATGGTAGTAGTAATTATAATAGGTAAAGGAAAAAATATGTAATGTATTGAGTTAAAAAGTATGGAATTAGGTGCTGCAATTAAGGCTCTTTATTACGTCCGAAATTACATAAAGATTTTTTTTACAAAATTCAGATTTCAAATTCTATATAAACATTATATATCAGAGGATAGCTAACTTACTTTTAAGAAATAAAAAAATATTAATGGGAAACTTCTTTAATGAAATTGTATAGTTCTACAAAATGTTTCGAAAATTCAGTGATGTCTTTTAAACGATTCTTTTAACTAAAAGTGTTGTTAATCTGGTTAAAAAAGTAAAATTAAAAATGTGATTTTTGTTTCTATGACTAAAGCAATATATAGTAGCATGATAATTTCAACAAGTCCATTTTCGATTTAATATTACACTCTTGCAAACTGTTCTATGCTCAAAACTAAATATAGCTAGTACGAGCATAAAAATAGATCAAAACGAAAAATGAGAGCAAATAATCGTATGCCTTAAAGTATGCTAACTTTCTTATATGTAGTGGTGCAAAAAACTTAATATCAAAATTATTGTATAGGTACATACATATTTCTTGGATTTATTTCCAATTATGTATTTGAATATTATAAATCAAGAAAGGAATCAATACCTTTAAATTGTTAACCACAAAATCAAGTTAATGTTATCCCTGTATAATGGTTGATGACAAGATGCGTAAAACGTATTGACCAATACGATATTTTTGGTCATTTGTATATAAAGGGTTTTAAATAACAATACTTTACAGTGTGCAGTTATTGTACATCTAGAAATTCTATTAATATTATGGCAAACAAGAAAATTATACATTCACTGAATTTTGATTGTTTACTTGCATAATGAATACTTGTTAACAAGTAAGTACCTACACAGGGGTATATTTGCGAGGGTTAACTGAAATGTTTTCTAAGTTTAATTAAAAGAAATATTCAATCAATCAACAAATCAATCATAGTGCATATATCATTATCATTGGTCCATAGCTGATGTGTTAATTTTATGTTTTGAAATAGTACTAAATTATTTTTTGGCGTTTTTATCTATTTCTAGTTTACAGACTTGTCTACGGATTAGTATTTTGACTAGTTTGTTAACTAGCCTATTTTATGGTCTCTTAACTAGTATATTGTCTAGTCTATTGACTAGTCTATTCTTCAGTCTATTCAGACTAGTCTTTTACCTTATCTATTGACCAATCTATTGTCTAGTCTATGGAATAGTCTCTAAACAAGTCTTTTGGCTTGCCTATGAACTATTCAATTGACTGGTCTATTATTCAGTATATATACCTACTAGGTTATTGACTATTCTATGGAATAGTCAACGGACTAATATATAGACTAGTCTTTTCTCTAGTCTATTGTCCAATCTATAGACCAGTCTATTGTCTAGTCCCTTGTCTTGTATATTGACTAGTCTTTAAACTAGTCTATGAACCTGCCTATTGGCTAGTATATTGTCTAGTCTATGGACTAGTCTGTTGATTGGTCTACCGATTAGTCTATTCTCTAGTCCATTGACTAATCTATTCTCTAGTCCATTGATTTTCCTCTTGCCTTATATATTGACTAGTCTATTGTCTGCTCTATTGACTAGTCAATGCTCCAGGCTAGACTAGTCTAGTCTATTGACTAGTCTATGGAATTTTCTTTAAACTAGTCTTTGACTAGTCTATGAACCTACATATTGACTAGTATTGTCTAGTCTATTGTAGAGTTTATTGAAGTTTATAGAAGTCTATTGACCAGTAAATGGACTAGTCTGTTGTCTGCTCTATCGATTTGTCTATTCTCTAGTCCATTGACTAGCCTCTTTCCTTATATATTGGCTAGTCTATTGACTAGTCAATTCTCCAGTCTAGACTAGTCTAGTCCATTGTCTAGTCTATTGTCTATTGAATGTTCTTTAAACTAGTCTTTGAACCTAAATATTGACTAGTCTATTGTCCAGTTTATTGACTAGTATGTTCTTTAGTCCATTAACCACTTTATTGTCTAGTCTATTATCTAGTCTATTGACTAGTCTGTTGTCTAGTCTGTTGACTAGTCTGTTAACTATTATATTCTTTAGTCCATTGACTAGCCTTTTGCTTTATATATTAACCAGTCTATAGCTTAGTCTATTAGATAGGACTATTGTCCTATCCTGTATATATAGTATTTTGACTAATCAATGGAATAGTGATTTGACTAATCAATGGTATAATGTTTAGACTAGTCTTTGGACAAGTGCTTTTGTTAGTGAATTGGCTAGTCTAATGTATGGACTAGTTTTTGACTAATATATAGACTAGTCTTTTGACTAGAAGTAGTCTATAAACTGAAATTCTGACTAGTCTTGACAATAGCCTATTGATCCAGTATCGTTCTGATAAATTAATCTTTTCGATCCAAAACATTACTGTACTCATAAATAGTTAATATAATAGATGTTTCTTCATTAATCTTTAGAAGACATTTTCCAGCTGACTTCGCACATATACGTAGTTACGCAAGAGAGAACTATGTAAATATGTATATAACAAATGTAGTTGCAATAGATGGTACTATTCATTATAATGATGACGTTGATGATAATTACGAAAGTTATAATCATATCGAGTGCGATATTATAGTAAACATATGCGGAAATTATTATGTTGTTTTTGTTGTTTTTAATACTAACTACTATGACTATTGCAGCTGTTTTTGCTCTAGCATTAGCAGCAATCTATAAGTTTCGTTATAATTGTGGAACCAAAAATACATACAAAATATTTTAATGTGTTAATATGTGTGTATGTGGCGACATTTTTGTTGTAGTGTATGCATGTGTATATGTACTATACCTACTATATGTGTTAATGACAAATTGACAGGTATTTACTTAAAAGTTATTTTTGATCGAATACAAACTGCAGACAAGTGCATAATTTATGAATAGCAAGCATCCCACACCCAGGCTGCCAGGCTCCATTAAATACAATACACCACATTCCATTTTATTTCATTCTATTTCATTTTGTACTCTATGAAGAAGAAAGAAGAACTTTAATTGAGTATTTTGTATTCCATTTAATTTAATATGTCTATGTTGTTTAATATACCTTTACCAAACAACCCTCTAACCAACCAACCAAAAGAAAACTGATGAGCTGCAGTCAGTTTATATTGACTAAATAGAATTTTAGCCAAACTAATTAGTAGTTGCATGTTGAATATGTATGTATGTGCACATTTAGTGACACAGTTTAAACTTCAATTAAATTACATTTCTGTCGGCATGAAATATTTATGCACTTGCAGTTAATAAGAAAAAGGAATTTGTAGTTTTGGTTGGCAAATATTGTTAGTCCAATTTTACTTGGAACTAGTGTATTGGAAATTTTCGGTTTTGTTGACAACAATTGTAAAATAATTACTCTCTCTCTGTGTGCTAGAAAGTTATATGAAATTGTTTTAAAATCAAATAAATATATTCGTCCTACTTTATAAATGTTTGGTAAGAGTATTTGACTTTGTTTGGTTTATTAAAATGATGCGGTTGATATTGCAAATAATTGCTTTTGTTGAACATATATAATACGTAATTCTATTTACTAAATTTTCTTCAAATTATTTACTGCTTATTGAATATTAACAGGTAGTGGTTTGCAGTACTGCAATTCAATAATATTATTAGTATTATTTAACAATATGCATAAGAAATATGAACGACAGAAAACTACAATTGCTAAAATTAATATTACAAAATATACAAATATATTATTTATGTATGTGTGCCCCAGTTTCAAAATGTAATAAGTTTTCTAAATTAATTTATTGCTTATTGAATATTTACTGTTAGAGATTTGAAGTACTGAGATGTCATTTTCATAATAATATAAATTAGATTTGGAAATGGAGTTCTATATCTAGACTTATATTAATGCAGTATTATGTAGTAATAAATAAACATAAAATTTGAAATAACGATTGATTTTAATGTTTAATATATAAAAGTTAAAAAATTGTATAATATGTAAATTTTTTAAACTATACTCAAAGTAGATAATTTTCATTTTTAAGAACCAGATTTTGTTTGTAGGTAAATAATCGAAAAAGAAACATTAATAATATTAAACAAGTAAGAAATTATAGACGGGCGAGGCCGACCATATAATACCCTACACCTTTGACAAAAATATAATGTGATTTATTTGCCATAATAAAGCATTTAAATTGAATTGTACCTTGCCTCAGATATACATACTTAAGCCGTTTATTGTTGAATAAAATTGTGGACATTTAAGTGAAATTTTGATGGGGGCTAGGGTCATATGAGGACCTATTATTATGGAATTAGTGAGGGTCATCAAATCTTGTATAGAACTTGGTTTTTGCAGCTTTTTGTCGAGATATGAGTATATTAAACATAATTATGAACTTAAAAGCCCTATTCGGGGGTTCAGTTGTATGGGGGCTAGGTGAAATAATGGACCGATATTAACCATTTTCAATAGGCTTCGTTTACGGTACCATAAAAGATCATGTGCCAAATTTCATTGAATTATCTCCAAAATTGCGACTTTTAGTTTGATTACAAGGTTTACAAGCCCTATTGGGGGGTTCAGTTGTATGGGGGCTAGGTGAAATAATGGAACGATCTTAACAATTTTCAATAGGCTTCGTCCCTGGGACAATAGAAGATCATGTACCAAATTTCATTGAATTATCTTCAAAATTGCTACCTGTAGTTTGATTACAAGGTTTACATGGACGGACGGACAGACGGACGGACATGGCTAAATCGACTCAGAAAATGATTCTGAGCCGATTGGTATACATTAAGGTGGGTATAGGACCAATATTATTGTGCGTTACAAACATCAGCACAAACACAATATACCCTCCCCACTAAAGTGGTGTAGGGTATAATGAAGCCAAACTTAGAAAACTTCCTTATGAGGAATTATAGCATTTTTATACATACAAGTATTTGATATAATAAAGACTTGGCGATTAAGCATTGATAGATCGAAAGTACTTAGTGTATTGCTCAAGCACTATTTACAAAAAACTTCATATCTCTGAATGTGTTGCTTTCCAAGAAAAAAACCAATAAATAAAGATAATAGGACGCAGTAAACTGTATTTCCGATAGGGATAAAGATTCCTAAAAATTACATTTTTTACAATTGTGGTATAGGATCCACATTTCTTTCGATTGTGGAAAAATACTTTAGGAATACATAAGAAACAAATGTGGGTATATAAAGCTTCTTCCAGTTTTGGGATCTTTTCGCCAAAAAAAACTGCAAACACCTAAAAGTTTTCGAAATTATAACTTCGGTTATTTGTATGAAGTTTTTTCTGTGATTGTTATTTTTGTTAACTAATGCCCAATATTCTAAAACGAATTTTTCAAATGCCTATAACTCGAAAATTATAAGTAATAATGCTACCCTGGTATGGTCAACTATAAGTACTCCCAGATTTGTGAACATATATTTCTGGTCTTTTGCACTTTTAGGATGGTTCACCGTTGTTTGATTCGTTGACGACTATGAGGGTTCAACCGTTGTCGTTTGGCTTTGTTTTCTGTTGCCTGTGCCAATTGCAACCGGTGGAGTCCTTTTTGTAACCGAGCTTCGAGCAAATGGGTTTTCTGTAGGTACATCTGCAGTTTCGGACGAACTACTCAGAGTGTCATCATTTTCCACCTTTTCTCCGTTGTTATTGTTGTTGTTGATTTTGCAAGAGCTGTGTATCGACGACAGGGGCCTGGTTTCTCACCACCCTTCCGCCGGCAAATGTGTTATTAACTCCCTGCACCGTAACTTTACTTTCATTTTTCTGGCTTTGCTTTGTGGCTTTTCTGTTGTGGTTCCTACCTATAGCGTTTTATATCTAACCACCAGGAGAGGGAACAACCGATTCTAACATGAATGCAGACGATGACCAGGGAGCTGCCCACTATGGAACAAATGCTTCTGGACATCCTTGCGGGATATACCTATTTAAATGGCAGCATCTATTCGCCACGACATACATCCGTTTTCAAACTTTTGTACCGTTATTTAGCACACGTGCGGTCTTAGCCAGGACCCCTGGCCCCTAGTCTGCCGGGGACACAACCTATAAAATTATACCACGGGAACTGGTAGCCCATAGTATAGAGTTTCAGACTTTCTCTTGTCCCTATTATTGAAGAGGTTCCTTCGGTGTCCACATGGTGGCTGTTTTTTAAACTCAAAATCGTGGGAAGATAATGTTTGTTAAAAGAGTGATACACGGTAAATCTATAATTTGGGATGATTTCGAATGGAGCTAGCGTTGGGAATGAGTTGGTGTATATCATACGGGACCTAGAGTGAGTGTATCAGTTTTTTTCTCAATTAGTGTGTCGGATGAATGAGAAATGTGCTGGGTTGAATGGTGGATGGATGGATGTAAAGTATCTTATACAAGTGATGCCACAGAATATTCCTTCTTTGTCACTGTATGTTAAGCGTTTACTCTGTTCATACTAGAGATTAGATAGCTTAAATACTTGAGCAAAGTGCTTGTTCATGGCCAAGCGGAACCACTTACAAAAATTGCCACCTTCGTGTTCTTTACGAGGAGAGTTGGGTCGTCTCAATCTCATTATGTGGTTAATAAAGTACAACCATAAAATAGGCCGTTTGTCAGGTATTTACGTCAAGAACTCTATATAGAATCATCCAAATTCCTAAAATTATCAAAATGTTTTCTTAAAACTGACATTATAAGCATTCGGTTAAACTATATACGCTTCGTGAAAAGCAGATTATCGGTATTAATTTTATCATTCAATAGAGTATAACAGTTTGGTTTAATGTATGTACTATATTGTAAAGCTATGTATGGTTGTCAGATCTTACAACGTTGGCAGAAAAATTTTCAGAAAATGTTGAACAATCGTGTGAACTTATAATTTTTGTTTTGAAACGTTATTAGAAAAAGCTTTTCTAACAATGTTGCAACACATAAATTGTAAGTTGACAAGGTTGTTAGACATTTTCTGAACATATTTCTGACAACATTGTAAGATCTGTATACATAGCTTAACTTTCTTCTGAATATTTCGAAAAAGACAAATTTTAGACTATGTATCATTAAAAGGAGCAAGAGAAAAATGCATTTAAAAAAAATCAAAACAAAAATCAGTTTCTTTTTATAACCCCAAAATTTCTTCCTCAAAAACCCCAATATTGAATTATAGCTAATTAACCCTAGTGATTTAGTGATAAACAAATTTGCAACACTGTGTGTTATCATTAGCAATATTTGGCTATTAACAAAACTAAAATGACCCACAACAATAAAAACAACCATGTGCCTGACACTATCCACCCATATCCATTGTATATTTCTTTAGTTTTTTTTTTTTTTTTGGTTGTTTACATTTACTAATGTCAAAAATTATATACACGCTTGTACATTCGTTTCTACGTACACAATTGTACGTACAAAAATATCGAATTCGAAAATACAATAAAATTTATTTCGAATATACTATAAACATCATCATCTTCATCATTATTAACATACAAATGCCAGACTAAAAAGAAAATAAAACAGACACACAAACTCAATACTTAAGAATTTCATTCATTCATTTTTATCATTCGAAGTATTTGCTTTGACAGAGCAAGTGGTATTAATAATAAAAAAAATTGAATATAGAAAAGAAACAATATTTAAAAAACGAATATCTAGCAATTTAGCAAAAATTAAATATAAATATTTATACTTATATATACACGTTTGAAACGTAACGAAATCAGTGCACAAAAAAACTAATAATCTGATAAAATAAAAAACGAAAATTCGCAACCGTTCTACTAACTTAAATGCCACAAGAAAAAATTTTATAATTTTGAAAAAATAAGAAAAAAAGTAAAAAAGAATAATAGATTTTCTTCCATATAAGGATTTGGGCAAAAGAAAAAATTGTATACATTGTTGGTGGATCAAGAAAGAAAAACATGTTTTCTTTTTTGGTTTGAACATGTAAAAACGAAGTAAATAAACAAAACGTACAATTTAATTGATGGACATTTTTCCTGCTCTTTTCTTTATTTTTTCAACATGGAATTTTTGTTTTTCGCATACATACGTTCTTTATAAGTAGAAAAGGTGGCGAGGCTGGCTGACTAGCTGCTGCTGGTGAATGAAAAATAGAATAAAAGAAAATTATGAAAAAAAAGTGAAAATTGTGAAAATAGAGTGTGCGCCCTGAGAGAACGTGTAACAGTACTAAAATACCAAAAATGAGAGCAGACATTCATAGTTTTGTAAATAGAGAGACCGAGAAATATTTAATAAACATTATTAAAGTAAATAAACAGAATAATATAAATATTTGAAAAAAATCAAAACAAAATATGTAAAATTATTTTAAAAAATAAATTTAAACAAAATAATTAATTAATAACCTTAATAGGTTTAATTAATTAAAAACAAACAATTAATTTTGTTAAAAAATAATCAATAACAAATTAACTCTTTAGTCATATTTGAGATAAATCTGTATAATAACATATACAAATTCAATCGATTGTTCTAGTTAAATTTCATTTGCCATCATTAATCAATAAACAAAGTGTAAACTCTTTAGCTGGAATTAATAAGTTTACTAAAACTACGTCAATCTGTTGAAAGCATGAAAGGGCCTAAATGGAGTAGCTAGAGTTAAACATGATTTTCACGAACATTCCTCTCTTATTCCTAGGGTTTATATGGGCGTTCTGTTTAATCTTATTTTAGTTATATCAGTGATTTTATTAATTATATGAAGTAAAACTTATGTAGGAACCAGGTTCATATATGCACCGATCCTCTTAAAATTTAATGGAATAATTTAGGTCTATATAACTCGGGAAATCAATTTCATCACGTGATCTTAAAGAGCCAGACACACTAACACTTGCTATTTTATTTTTTGTCTGACTAAAAATTAAAGAGTGGCCTGGTAGACCGGAGGTGGTGGGTTCGATTCCCACCTGAGGCACTGGTTAAGGAGCGCACAACAGGCCCGATAGAGGCCTAGGTGTATTTCTTCGGATTTGATGTATATACATCCTCCTTTCAAACTAACTAACTAAAAATTATAGACATTTAAGTTCTTTTAAGACATTATTTGTATCTCCAACGATTTTAAGATTTAAAGAAGAAACAGAGGCCTTTAGAGTAGTTTATATTTATTAAAGTAACCCTAAGAATTCTGTGTGAATTTCTCGAGCAAACATGGGAGTATATTAATTTTGTATTTTCGTTTGTAACACATCGAAATATTGATCATAATTCTACCAAAGTATATACCTCCATATATATATATATTCTTGGTCCTAATTAAATTCTAAAGCGAACTAGCCACGTTCGGCAGTCTGTTGAAAGCACGATAGGGTCAAATATTTACTATAGGTAAAGCTTGTTTGGTATCGAAAATGAACAAGATCGATATTATAGCTACCATACACATAGCTACCCCGAAAAACAGTTTCCCGAGATATAACTTTTTTAATATCGATAAAATTCGACTTAAACACGATTTGTATGATATAAATTCGCTCTACAAAATTTTATGAGGATGGGTTCATGATTGTCTCTACTACCCATATAGAAGGTCCCCTTTAGAAAAAACTTTAACGCTCATTACTGGCTTAAAAACATAGCTTTGAAATTGGACATAGAAACGATTTGTATGAACCAAAATCACTCTATAAAATTATATGAGAATCGGTCCATAATTGACTTACATATGTATATGATTCCCATTCAGAAAATGACTTTAAAGCTCATTACTGTCTTAATAAAACGATTACAGTAATGAAACTCGCCACAAATAAGTTTATGATGATCGATCTATAACTGACCGTATCCCCATTTAAGGTCCCTTCAAAAAAATATTTTTATAACCAAATATCTTTATAAAAAATTTGAAAAGGATAGTTCCATTAATGATCAAAATCTACAAAATTATATGAGGATCAGTTCAAGGGCACCTTATACTCCCCATATAAGGACTTCTTCAAAAAATTACTTTACCGATCATTATCGGCTTACAAATTCGACATAAACTAATTTTTTAGGAACTGATAGACTGTTAAACGGATAGACCAATTTTCCTAAAAATTTCATAATCTTTCATAATCTTGTAGTCTGGAAGGCTACTTTTTACTTCAAAATTTGAAGTGCGTGACGTCCCACATCCACATACAAAATAAGTATTGAAAATCGCAGGAACTACAGCCTCAACTTTGGAGAACTTTGACATCCATATGAACAAAATTTATGGCCTAAATATAGTGGGCGTGCCACCTCCTTTATAAAGAAATTTTTTAATTAGTATATCTGAGAAATAGCTAGAGTTATTAAATTGTTTCGGAACCACTTTAGTATCAACATGAACATACTAAGCAAAAAGTAGGCGGACTGGAAAAGGGGCGTGGCATATTTCATATATATTTAATAAAAAAATCGTTTATCTGGGAAACTATTGGAGCTAGAATCTTCAAATGGGCGGATAGAATGTGAAATGGGCGGACATACCTTTTGGGAAGGGTGGGGGGTTGTGTAATGGGCGGACTTTCATTAGGCAGGATGGTTCGGTACCGTAGATATAAATTAAATCCAAAAATTCGTTAAGACCTAAAATCCTTAAACATTGAATTAAAAAATGTAACATAACAAATTGGTGGAGTGGCAATGGGGGGGGGGATTCGTGGAACCTCCCATATGAATTAAATACAAAAAATTTGTTTATCAGGAAAATCATTAGAGCTAGAATCTTTAAATTTTACTTGAAGCACTTTAACATACATGTAAACATTAAGGGAAAATATGGGCGAACATTAATTAGGGGGTCTTGAAATCTTTCATATGAATTAAATTAAAAATTTTTGCATGAAGAACTTTGACATCGATCTGAGCATTTCGGTAATAAGTTGGCGGACTATCAATAGGAGGGATATCTGCGAAACTATAAGAGTTCAATCTTCAAAAATCGTAAAGAGTATTTTTTATTTATATTGTTTTTGGGTAGCACTGGTGTGTAAATAGTATACATATATTTATAATTTGAATAATTTTTCAAGGAAATTTTCGAGAGACTTTAAAATACTCGATCTTTGGGAATAAAGCAATTTGATGTATCAAACTTTTTATTTTGTTTCACATATTTAAAAGTGAATTGACTATTACTATTAACTTTTCTATAAACCAATTTATAGACAATGCTATGGTCTAATCTATTGATTTCTCTATGGACTAATATATGAAATAGTTTATTACTGGTCTCTTGTGTAATCTTTGCTCTATTGACTATTGGACTAGTCTGTAGATTAATCAAAAGATTAGTATATGGAATGGTTTATAAACTAATCGATGGGCTGGTCTATTGATTAATCTTATAATTAAAACGAGTAGAAGTTTTCGACTTCAGTTTTAGAAGTTTCAATTGAGTGAAATTGAAAAAAATGTATAAATTAAAGAAAATCTTATAATTTATTTTCAATATGACAAAAGAGTTAATATTAACACAATAATTAAATTTAAAAATATAGTTCGAAAACTCAACGAAATAACAAACAATTCAAATTAAAGAAAAAAATTATTTATTAAAAATTCCAAAAACATAAATTCTTTGAAAATAAACACTTGTTAGCACCTATCAACTAATACTAGATTCCACTGTTAAGCAAGAAAAACACACTTTCTCTCTAAACATTTTCTTTCGATTAAAATGAGAGAGCGCCAAATATAAAAAAGAAAACACCAAAATAGTAGTGTAATATGAAAAATGTTGCGTGAGAGCAAGAGATGAATGAGATGATGAAGGAAAATGTATACAGAGTGTGGCCCTAATATATAGTATTCAATGCTAAAGTGGATGAAACAATAGAGTGTCAAGTAAAAAACATTGCTTATTAACTGCCAGTCGTTATTTTTCTTTCTCCCGTGTTGGCAGACCATAAAAAAATAAAAATACGAACAGGAAAATACACCGAAAAGCAAAAAAAAAAAAACATCTTAAATAAAATAATAAATTTAAAAACATTAGAAATTTAAAAAAAAAAATTTCTACACAAAAAAGCACAAGCAAGCAAACAAATAACAAACAAAAACAAAAGAGTGTGTGCGTGCGTGAGTGAGTGAGTGAGTGAGTGAGTGAGTGAACGAGTGAAAAAGTGAATGATTAGATGATTATAAAAGCTAAAAACGTAAGACAAAAGAAAAATATATTGAGCTGGCCATCAAGCATCAAACAAAACGTAAAATCTATAAAAAATTTACCAAATTCCTACGTTTACGCCATGAAAGAATAAAATTTTCTTCCTCTAAAAACCCACCTCTTCTTCTACTACCACCACCAACACCACAGCCGTCCAAAACATTTAGTAAAATGCCAAATCCCAAAGAAAAATCTTCAGCATCCTCGTCGAAAGATGCAAAACACAGGTCGAGGTCATCTGCTCGCTATGCTGACGTCGAAGCTAAGCAGCGCAAGAGAGCCTTGCTGTCTATACCCAATACCATCAAATTGAGTATGCTCAATTCTGGTCTGCTGTCGTTTGAGAAAATCAAATTGGAGGCGCGTGATGAAAACAATTCCCTCTCCAAGACCATACCCAACAATCCCATCGATATAAGGCATTTTCTTAAACTATGCGAATTGAGACGTAAATTTCCCGTACTCTATAAATTGGAATTTCAGACAGCAGCCAAAGTGGAGACAAACACCTGTCGCCATGCTCTCAGAAAAAACAATCACGATAAGAATCAAAATCCCAAGTGCATTCCCTACGATTACAATCGCGTTGTCTTGCAAAAAATACCAGGCGTACCCGATTCCGATTATATTAACGCTTCCTATGTCGATAGTCTTTTGAAACCCAATGCCTATATTGTAACCCAGGGACCAGTCGAGGAGACAGTGAATGCATTTTGGCGCTTAGCATGGCAGGAGAATATAAGCGCCATCATTATGCTGACAAAGACATTTGATTTTGCCAAAGTCATGTGTGTTCAATATTGGCCGCCCAATAAGGAAGTACACGAAACCTATGGTGATATTAACATAAATATTGTTAAAGAAGAACAACTGGCCAATTTCCATATAAGAACTTTCCGTCTTTACAAGGTAAAGGAGGGAACCAATGAAGTAACCGATGAAAGATTTGTTTTGCAATTTCACTACACCGAATGGTATTCCCACTCGTGTCCCTTCTCCAATGCCGTTTTGGAGTTTCGCAGACGAGTTCGTTTGGTTGTGGGCAGCATAATAAAAGATGATGATACCAAAGGTCCAATGTTGGTGCACTGTAGTGATGGTGGTGGTCGTTCGGGGGTGTATCTATCAATTGATGCCAATCTGGAACTGGCCGAAGAGGAAGAATGTTTTAATGTATTTGGTTATTTGAAAAAACTGCGACAATCGCGCAAAGGTCTGGTGGAAAATGTGGAACAATATAAATTTGTCTATGATACTTTGGAGGAGAATATTGTGTGCGGCAAAACTTGGTTTCCGGTATCCGAACTATCAGATCGTTTAAAGGCCAAAGCGCGTCGTAACTCGTTGACTAAAATGAATGATTATCAAATGGAATATGAAAAGATTTGCAAACAAACTCCCCGCTTTACTATAGGTGATTGTGCTGGTGGTCATCGTGCCGATAATAGAGAGAAAAATCGTGATGTTTTGTGTGTGCCACCCGATAATTTCCGTCCCTATCTTACCTCCTTTCAAGGCAATGCTTTTACCGACTACATAAACTCGGTATTTGTGGATGGCTATACTAAACCCCGTGAATATATTGTAACCGAATGGCCCATGAAACATACGCTGGGTGAATTCTGGTCTTTAGTCTACGATCAAGAATGTTCTGCCGTAGTCGTACTCTGTCAGCCACCAGCCAACTCTCAAAGTTATCCCTCATTTTGGCCGCATAAATCTAAAATGGAAAAATATGGTCCTGTCTTTTCGGTGCACTATTCATCGGCCAAAAGCTATACCAACATTAAGCAATGGGAATTTAAAATAAATAAGAAAATTGTCTCACTAACCGAAATGATGGCAGGCGTCAAGGCTCCCACACGTACCGTACAACTTTTCCAGTTAACCTGTTGGCCCATGGGTCACAAGGTACCCTCTTCCACTAACTCTTTGGTCTATCTAATGAATATGGTTGAAATGTGGCGTGCTAAAACCGATTATGGTCCCGTATGTGTTGTCTCTCCAGATGGTCGCAGTCGTGCCGGTGTTTATTGTGCTGCCAATGCTTGTATTGAACAGGTAATACAACATGGTGAGGTGGATGTTTTTCAAGCTGTCAAAACGGTGAGACGTCATCGTCCACAATTAGTTGAGAATATGACCGAATATAAATATTGTTATGATTTAGTTTTGCATTATGTTTTACATTTCTTGAACAAAAATGATTAAGCTATGTTTGTATGTGGTAAATGTTGTTGTAAATGGAAGGTATTAGAGGATTTCAAAAGGTGTGATAATGAGAGAGGAAATGTTAATGATGATTTATTATAGAAGACTTGTCATATTCATTAGTTTAAAGTTATATTTAAAGCATTTCCCTGAGAGTTTAACAAAGTTGAGATATAATAATGTCATGAAGTTTTCCATAATGTGGATGAAATATTTCACTTATCTGCATACTGTTAACACGACATTGTTTCCATAGAAATTCTTTTCAAAATCTGAAGTAATCGGATAGAATGTTATTTCGGAAAAGTAGAATTTTAAACAAAAATCCCTAAACAACCTAAATTATATAAAACTGCAACATGTTTCTTTACTAAAACAACGATCAACATGTTGCTAAAGACAGAAACTTATTGCTGAAAGAATAAATTTTAAATAAATATATTGGTAAACAAATTTCGCTAATAAAATGGAAAATTTTCAGTAAAACTTATATATGCAATATATAGAAAAAGACATGTTGCTGAAACATCTTTAACGAGATATGGTTTCTAATGAACTAGTTTTGCATTATTTTACTAGATGTGCTTTAAACAGTTTGAATCATAATCTATAAATTTAAATCATAGAAAATATAATATCGCTAGCAACATTAAAAGAATTTCGCTAATCACATGAAAATTTTCAGTAAAACTTGTATGCAAATGCATGTATTTGCGAGCTATACATGTTGCTGAAATGTTTCACTATTTCTAGCGACAATTTTGATTTAAAATAGCAATATTTACAAAAACACATGTTGCTGAAACATTTAATCCACTTTAGAATTTAGAAAATTTTTAGACTGTTTATAACAGCTTTGAATATTTAAAAATAAAACATTTAATTTATCTGAATGTTGTTAACAGAACATTGTTTCTAACGAAATTGATTTTCAAATTGGAATAGAAACATGTTGCTGGAACAATAATTCTTCTAGAACCAGCTCTATCTGGAAACAGCTATACTCTCAATAGTGATGGGGAAATCTAAAGAAATAAATTTTCAACATGTTGATAAAGAAGCTTTAATTACAACTAAAAGAATAAACAGCTGTATTTAGGGCTTTCAACATGTTGCTAGTAACATACACTGTTTAAAGCTTTCTTCTTCTTCTTCTCAAACACTGTTTAAAGTTTTCTTCTTTTCATCCAAAATATTTCTGGATTAATTTTAAACTTAATTTTTAAGCTTGGTGAATATAAGAAGAATACAAACAATATGTTGCTGGCAACATTCGTTAGTGTTGCTAGAATAATTCTATAATATTAACAAGTTTCATTTAGTACAAAATACACTATTCAACATCTCTCTATAAATGTTATGCAAAATTGTTATAAAAAATATTTCTGAAATGTATTTGGCAACATTCCAGCAACATTTTAAACTTACATTTAAAATACTATAGGCAAATAGCTGGTGATCAACCTTAACTAATTGTTGAGGATGTCAAAACTATAAAATTTCACTCTAAACTTATTCTCAAATAAAATGTTGTGTCTGTTGTTTCAGAAACTTTATACAAGATTCTAAGGGTCTACAAAAATTATATTCATTTGTAAAGTACTTGAGAAATTAAATAAATTTGTAGAAATATTTCGCTTATAAACGTAACTAAACAAAGTTTATTAACATTCTAGATAGTATTGAGTATAATTTATTAAATAATCTCAAAATGTTACGGTTAATGAGAACAAACTCTAAACATGTTGCTAAAGACTTACCCCCATTTTAAAAAGAGCTTAGTAAACCATAAATAAGCAATTAATATGAATACGAGGATTAGGTTATTAGCAATAATCAACTATCAGCCAACTCTATACGAATAACTGTTTTATAAATCTTTGTTGCTTTGTTTTCTAAACATGTTGCTGAAAAAACAAACTTTCAAATTAAATGAATATTAACAATAAATTAAGCAAATTTCCATTCTTTACTATAAAACAAAAACACACACACACCTTTCGAAATCCCCTAATACATATAAGCACAAATTAATTTAATTTTGCTCTTAACTCTCATCCTAGAAGCAATATATTTGAAGTATTTAAACTAAATCTTAATAACTAAAAAACGAAACTTAACATACTAAATGTAGTAGTTTAATTGAATTGAATGTATAATGTATATTTTAACTTAACCCACTTTAAGTAAATTATTTGCCAAAACCCTATAAAAAAAAATTAAAAATAATATAATAAAATGTACTGAATTTATTTTTTTGAACGAATACAAATATAAAATATTTTAATACCAAATCCTTTTAGACGATTAAAAACGAAAACAAAAAATTATTTATATATATATTGATGTTATATGTACTGATTTTGTCCTACAAAATGTAAAAAAACAAAAAAATTATATGCCTTAAAAAATGTAAGCCTCAATTTGTTAACAATAAATATTTAAAAATATAAAAACCCCTAAATTAAGTTAAAATAATGAGATGTTAATATTTTTAGTTATTTATAGTAAAATATATTTTTGTTTATTTTAACTGTCATCTTTACTTTAAGAAAAGATTTCATAAACATTTTAGTTAAAATTATTTTTTTTTAATGTTTTTATTTAATTTGTTATATTTTTAACAACATGCTTAATACTCTGTTACAATTTTATTTACCAATTGCAAAAACAACTCAAAACTTTTGAACATTTTCATCAAAATTGCAGTAACATTTAAAGACAAACGATCAAATAAACAGACGTGGATTTAAGGAGTTGTATCTGCCTTTAAAAATTTTGAACCATATTGTAAAGTGTTCTTAACTATACGAACAAAATGATATTAGTTTATAGTACTCTTAGAAATATTTTCAACAAAAACTGCCCCTGTTGCCCCATTGTCAACTTCCAAAAGAATTAGTTTCAATATTAAATAAAAAGAGTATTTATTATTTATAATTTCCTTAGATTACTTAATCAACCTAAATCAACAAAAAACGAAATTAGAAAATGTGGCAACATGTTGCTAATAAAAATAAAAATGTTGTTTAAACATCTTACTTCCTAAAGAAAGCTATTGTTAAAAAATAAAATTTTTTTCATTTAAAACAAAATTTGTTTAAGTTTTAATTATTTTCAAACCAGCATAGGAAACCTAGTTAAACTAGTATCAGCAACATGTTGCAAATATATTTCTGTTACCAAACATCTTAAATTTTTTTTTATTTATTTCAAAGTTGAAACTTTCGATATTTATATTTTACTTAATGATTTTTAACCAGCAAAATGAAATGTAGTAGAAAATTCAGCAACATGTTGTTAATACTTAGATACTCCAGTTAAATGTTCTTTAATTATAGCTTCTTTATTTGCTAAAATGAATTTATTTTAAATGATTATTCAACCACTTTTTTTCACATAGCGACATGTCACTATCAATTTGTGAGACCCAATGATTCACTAAATAATGATTTAATGTTTATCTTATATTATTTTTTTAGGAAATCAATATTTTTTATTCAGCAACATGTTGCTAATAAGTTTTGAGTCGTAACATTTCACTAAAAATGTTTATACTTATATACTTCATAAATGTTTATTTTAATTCAATAGAAACCAACTTGAAATTCATTAAAGTTATTTTTTTGTACAGCAACATGTTGCTATTTTCTAAAAATGTTTATATCTGCAAAATAAAACAAAAGCAATATATTAATAATTTATTTTGAGTCACACTGTTTCATTAGAAAAAGTTTGTCCATATTAAATTTCTCAAAAAGAAACCTTAATTTATTTTTAACATTTAGCAACATGTTGCTATTAAGTTTTGGGTCATAACGTTTCACCAACAAAGTTTATATTCAACATTTTTTTTAATATTTAATTTAAATGTATTTGCTCCGACAAATCGAAACCAAATCCCAGATTATGAAATGCCTTTTTTATGTATCCAGCAGGATTGGGGGGGGTAATCACTACATTTTCAATTACAATTACATTTGAAGTAATTGTAATTGAAGCTTTACCTATTACAATTACTTTGTAATTGCAATTGAAGTTTTGCAAATTACAATTACTTGTAATTGTAATTAAAGAATTTTCAATTACAATTACTTGTAATTGTGAATTTTGTTCCTTATAATTACATGTAATTAGTAATACTTAAATTACAATTACAAGTAATTTTAATTGGAAACTTTAATTACAATTACAAAATAATTGTAATTAGCAAAACTTCAATTACAATTATAAGTAATTGTAATTGATTATTGGTCAATTACACATTACAAGTAATTTCAATTGGAAAAACTTCAAAGTAATTGTAATTGGTTGTTGATCAATTACACATTACAAGTAATTGTAATTGACATTGTAACTAATTACTTTGTGTAATCACTGCACCCCATGCCTGGTATCCAGCAACATGTTGCTTATATCATCTTAGATTTATAAATAGTGATTATCTGCTAAACTACAAACAAATCATAGACTGTTAAAATACTTTTCTTTACTTAGCAACATGTTGCTAACATAATAAAGTTGATGTCTACTAGCTATCGGTCAGTCAGTCTTCAACCACTAAATACATATGTTTTGATCTTAATAATTTTCTCAACAATTTATTACAAAAACGCTAATCTATTATAAAACGAGAAAAGTATTTATTTCTTTGTTAAAAAAAATGGTTTCCCTAATTAAATAAATTAACTAAAATTTTAACCTTCAAAAATTAAAAAGAAAAATTATTAACCCATTAATCAAATCCATCAATTTAATAATTTATTTTTTGTAAAAAAATTAATTTATAATTTTCCAAACAAATGATTTCCCCAAAATCTCTTATAATTTATTAACATTTCGAAATATAATGTAGTTATAAGTTATATTAATTTATTTTTTTTTTTTATGTTATTAATTACTATTACCCTTAATATATACATACATAATATTTATATAAATAATAAATTGGTATGCACCCAAAACAGTTAAAGACTTGTAAAGCATGCCACCGTGGCATCATAACCCCATAACATGACACTGACTACAACGTTTAGTCACTTCCATATAAAATAAGTACCATGGCCTTAACATGCCAAAACAAGTCTGTCACTCAAGGGTGCAATAAGTTTTGTAAAAGCAAAAAAAAAATTATTTTTATATTGTTATTATTGTTGCTTAAGGTTATAAATCAAAAATAAATTTATTGTTTAATTAAAGGAAATTAATCATAAACAAAAGTTGGCCATAATTAAAATATATAACTGTTAATAATTACTATTTTATTATTATTTTATTTTTTTTTTTTTTTGTTAGAGCCTTAATTTATGACTTCAATTAATAGTCTTTAAACATTTTTTTTGCAGCAATTATATATTCTTGTTTTTTTTATGTAATAATTGTATTTAATTGATGTGTTTTATTTAGTTATAATTAATTTTATTTTTTTTTTATGTTTTTATTTATAAATGTTCCTAGAAGAAAATGTGTTATTGTTAAAATGAAAATTATGAAATATATATACCTGTAAATTTTATATAAATAAAAACAAACATAAAAATAATTAAAATACACCGAGAGAAATAAGTAAGTAATTTTGTTGAGTAAAAAAACAATTAAAAAATTATTTAATTTGAGCTAAATAATATACATGCCAATACTTCTATAACTAGTTAAATTGTTAGACAAAATAAAAATTATCTAGATGGAAATCAGTTCTGAAAAGATTCAATATTATTCAGTAATATATCCAAAACTATGTTCGTTTAGATTGAAAGGGGTATGTGTTTTACGCCAAAGCCGATAAAAAATACACCTAGGCCGCGATCGTAACTACGATTTGCTAATTTTCATGGAAAATGTTGATAACAAAACCTTTTATAGAGATTTATGGAGAACCTATTGAGCTAGTTTCGAAGAAAGCATGTCAATTACAGAGAAAGTATTCCAGTGTTTCAATGTCTTCTTCACATGCTCTGCATTTGTCTGAAATTCTGCCCGTAAACCAGCTTTTCCAATAAAAATACGTACCATTATACTAAACTTCAACTAATTATAAGAAGGTTTTTCTTCCTGATCTAGTAAGGGTCTATTATTACTAGTGATCTTATAATATTCTTTCGCCCCTTATTTGAATTCATCATCATGTAGACTACCTCAAGCTCACTTCTCTTTATAACAATTAAATTCGCTCATTCATTGCCAATTTCCCCAAATGTCCTAGTATACATTAATGCAGGGCTTACCAGTAGAAGAGTATTCTGTTACGGTTCTCCTTTATAGTCCAACACATTCTTAGATTTTAACTGATATCTTAATCAATCAAATATTTTTTACACATTCCTTGATAGCACGGCTGGAATATGTTTTGATTTACAGACTATTTTTCTCTTTCACTTTAGAGCCTTATTAACAGTTTTCCGCACGAGTTTGCTTTAATGTTTCACTTGACCTCGATCTCTTATCTAAGGGCAACATCTCAAAGTTTCCAACAATTTCTATTTTCGGTATTCGATCGGGCATATCTGGTGTTTGGGTACAACTGTCTAATATGTTGAGTAGATGACGTGTTCTCTAATCGGCTTTTGCCAATTCGCCTAAAAATCCGCTCAGTTGTAAGTGCTCCTCGTATATTACATGCGCTTTGATCGAAAAGTCCGGCAATGTTTCTTAAGCTTTGATGGGCATACATGAACCAAACCAACATATGCGCTAAACTCCCTTTAGTATCCAAATCAGTCTACTAGATTAGTTTGTATGTAGTTGGACTAAGACCCCAATTCGAGCCCATGATTCTCCTATCCTTTTTGTGGTATTTCTATGTTAGTTTCCGATAAAAAATTACTGCTAGGCATATAAACCTGTCGGTCACTGATATCGATATCTCCATGAACCGCTCAGAAATGTTCGTCTTCCTAATGAAAAGAAAATTTTCCGTCTTAGTTAACCCTGTTATGGCTTTCGTCTGCCTAAATGACGTTACTTCCGGCAATGTAATAATATGAATGGTCCAAATAAAATATCTTCTTCAAAAATTTCGCCACATATAGGTCTCTCTGATGAAACCTTTAAATTATGGTTAATTACTATAGCTGAAGTTATATATATATATGGAAGAGTAATGAGTTAAATAGCTATCGAAACTATTTATGTTAACTCACGGCATGTTATTGCTAATCACATACAAATAAGTACTTAAATAAGTCATTACAAATCAAATAAAAAAGTTGTTTTGTTTAACGCAAAAGAATATGCAGATATCTAAGTCATTGTAAGAGTACTCAAAAGTAATGCAGACGGTATGTAGTAGTCATCAAAAAGTGTTCTTTGAAAACATTATACTCCGACATACTTGAACAATAGTTGCAACAGCTTACGTTTTAGTGTTCAAGGCGTTTAAGGAGAGAAACTTTTTGAAAATAATTCAATTGTTTGACCTCTCACTGTTACCCAAATACTTTTTTAAGTTTAACATCTAGATTTCCTTTAAACAGCTCTTCAAACTGGCTCTTAACTACAAAATTTGGATGTATAAATACTCTCGATTAGAATCATACATACATACATATAACTAAAATTAAGCTCGACAGAATTATTTCGGTGTGTGATGGAACACGAGCGATTTGAACTCGACCGATTTGAAAAGGTTTGATAAATTTCGGTAGAGGAATAGTTTATAAATTTCTTGCAGAATACTGCTCAGACAACAAAATATATTCTATTTAAGAGAATTTATTGCAAAAGTATGATATTTTATGTAAAAATGTAATTTAAATAATATAAAAATAGTTTTTATCGATTTCAAATCGACTCGATTTTAAAAATTAATTTCATCACATACCAGAATATTTTTATTCTTATGTTAAAAAATATTTCAATACAAAGTTTCGAAACAAAATTTACAATTTATACGAATTTTCTCAAAACGAAATGTAAGCTTTAATTTTAAAAACAATTTTCTAAAATTATATATGAAAATTTTATTAAACTATACTAAAAAGTTCTTAAAAAAAAAACTATAAAATAAATAAAAAACTAACCTTAATAAATGTGCCATCTTAAACCTCTAGTTGTTTGTTGAATATTTATATAAAAAAAATCCTTAAAACTTTAAAAAAAATTGTTAAAATGACAAATAGAATAGAATTTTCTTCTACAATGAAAAGTAAATATTTATTAAAAAAAATATAATAAAATACTATTAAAAAGAAAACAATATTTTAAAAGACTATACAAAAACCAGAAGTTAAAATTAATTTTAGATACATATTTTTTAATGTTTACCAAAAGAAATTAATATTTCAACAGAGGGATGTAATGTTCTAATCCATTTAAATTTGTTGCTATAGCTTTAGGAAGGGTGTTTCGTAACACGTTTCGAATGGATATTCATTCGAATCAAAATACAGAATAATTCCCTTTAACTATAATTCTATGTTATAGTGATAAACATGTCCGATTAGCAACAAATTTGTTTGTCGCAAACATACTTTTTATTCGTTCTATTATTTTTTTATAATTGTCCATTATTATATATATATTTATACATATAAAGTAAATTTATATATTATAATAATTCATTAATTTCTTACTAATTTTATTTTGCATTTATGCATTTGTATAAACGCTAATAATGTATGTATGTATAATTTATATCTGTAGATATATTTTGTTTATTTATTTTCCTTTTCATATACATATAAGTATAATATTTGGTAACGTCATCTTGCTAGCAAATTGGTCCATGTGTTTTTTGAAAAAAAAATCTAAAAATCCAAATAATATTTTATTCTTTTTTATGTGAAAGTCATGGAATTTTTTTTAAATTACTCATAGATCCTTTAAAAGGTAAGATGGCAATTATTTTTTAATATTTACGCATATTATTTATTATATTTTGTTTTAAATAAATGTGAATGTTTTTTAAACACCCACTGGAAAACCCAAATTGAAATTGTGTTTCAATTATTATAAATTTCGTATAAGTAAGTGGTGTTTGATGTCACTGAAGGTAAAAAACA